CTTCCACTGTGGTAGCATGAAATGCTAATCCGGGCAGCCGTACATGTCAAAAATAATGCTGCATACAGGCATTGTGTGCATCTAATTTAATGTGGCGCATGAGTCAGTTACTTAAAGGCTTGGTGGTTGTCTCGTGGGTGTAGTAGGTGACAATGTCCAATCTCTTTCATTTCAGGTACATACGGTGGGTTGAGGACACCTACCCCACTCTTGGCGCCTCCTCAGAACTTCGGGAAATTCTCTATCGATGTGTCAAAGAGACTTGCACCTTAGATGACGTCCAAAATAACCCAAATTACGTTCAAGCTTGGCTCAAGTTGGTAAGTTCTTCTCATTTTCAAATGTCAGTAGTGAGGTTTACTGTTGTTCGGACCACGCAGCCAGTTTCAGCAGAGCTCTACTCCAGCATCTTAACACTTGTCTGCGCCATCGTTTTCTTAAATTACCAGCTCGATATAAGATGAAATTAAGTTGTAGTCATAACCTTAGAATTTAGCCTAATGTTTATTTATACTGCGGTTGAATATGAGCCGATCGGACGTAGAAATGGCAATATCAAAAGATATGGGTTTAGGCTTCTTAATTTCCTAACTTATTGTGTCTACCTACTCAAAATTTGGTGGTGTGCACACCTCATCAGTCCACTGAAATGGCTTTTCTGTAGACTTCCTTTTATCACACACAGCCTTCTGTTCGGGTACATTCTTATATTTATTACCCCCTCGATTGCTGTTATTCCTGATCTGGTTAGTGTAAACACTCTTTAACCTTTTGTTACCTGATTAAATAAATTAATACACGTTCATTTTCATGTCTGCATGAGTCAGCTTCACTAGAGTGAGAGCCACATGGGTTTGCAGGTGTCTGCTCAAGCCATTCCTCACAACTTAAGAACGCGTGATGTGCTTTTGTGACATTCCACTTCTCAACATGTGATCCTTCTACATCAAAGCTGCTTTGTATTCCGCTTTGTCGCAATTCGTCGCCTCCTCTCACCGTGGTTCGCATTCCGCCAACAACCGCGATATAAGAACTGGCTGATGAACACCTTGCTTCTCTGTTGACCTGCTTTGTCCTGAAAAGAATGGTGAATTTAATCGGACTAGGTTAAATCCTACCTATTTCAAAACAGCCTGGTTGCAGTCTTCAATTGTCCGAAGTCGCTTTAGGACATGGGAAATATAGATGCTGTAGTTATTCCCATTGGGGCTTTTGATTTGATGGAATCTAGGTTGGTTAGGTAGATTTTAACTCAACGGTCACTTAGTCCGTCAAATGGCCACGCTGCGTGTGTTGTAACCTTCCAGTTTTCAGCTGTACTGTCGCGCCTGCATTATCATGTTGGTTTCTTTCCTTGAGGTTTCCTATTGTGAGGCCCCCTCGGAGTTGTTTAACCTCCTCTTCTACAACGGTGTTGGCACCCTAATGGCAGACTTCTACATCGCGTGGGCCGACTACGTGCAGCAACTCCACCAAAAAGGCTGTTCGATCGCGACTAAGTGGGCTCGTTTGGCCTCCATCCTGGCCCACGGATTGCGCGCCGGGGCGCAGCCGATCGCTCTCCTAGAAGACCGAGCTGAGTAAGCAACTTTGTGCTACGCTTGCGCTGCTAACTAAGTATCCGTTTATGTGCACCGGGCAAGATGTGTAGCAAGTGCCCTCTGGGTACCGACTATTGCCAGACGCATGGTTTCATCACCAAATCTCAAAACCCTCAACTCCACCTCTGTCATCTAGTCGTGAGTCGTCCATTCGCCAACCAATGCTCTCAATCCATGCATCGGCATGCGCGTACTTTTGCTATCGACACTGACATTCTTTGAGATTCGCTGGCCCTTGATGCTTCCGTTGCGGAGCTGGACCCGTGTCGTTGCTGCACCAGCATGTTCACTGGCGCAAACCTACGATGTACCACATCTGAATCGAACACCGTACAATTGCGTTTCCCTATGGCTATTCCAAGGCTGCATTTTCTGAGTTCCCCACGAAGCACACTCCGACATATGACCATTGATTCGACAAATACATGTTCTTTTCTGCAACAGATTATTCTGCTTGCAAAATATTTTGGGAGACAGTACTAGTACAATGCCTTTGAGGATGATGTTTGATAGCCCGCGTGGTGCCATCACGAACCTTTCCTTTGTTCGAAAACTGAAGGGGAAGCACACCCACTTTCGGGAATGGTGTTGTTAATTTGCCCCCACCTAAGAGTATTTGCAGATTCTTCGCCTGATTTGTAAATTCTGCTCCTCACCCCCACCTTAAAATCCCGGATACCTCGGACAGGAATTTGGTCTCCTTTCGTAATGATTACTTGTGCTACACGGTGAGCAGTTGTATTGGTTTGGCAAGAAGAGAGGCTGAGGAAGGCCAGAAGCAAATGAATCAACCAGTCAACGTGTACTGAGAGTAGACGAGTTTGCATCCTCCTACAACGCGCAGGTTTGAACAATGGGGAGCGATGTTTGGTAGGAGCCTTAATCAGTAAAGGTCAGGTGGCGGATAAGATAGCGACCCCACGGATACAGGGTTACCGAGAAACCAGGACATGTGTGGGTGGGGATGACGAACGTGAATTGACCCAATTCACTGCAGAGATTTTGTTTG